GTCACAACGCCATCCTGTTAGGGACGGGTTGGGGTCGTGACAATAGTCCCCTGCACATGTGGCTACAAACCCCGCACTTGTGGCCTAGACTTCCAACAAGTTTTAGAAAAAGGTTTATGTTTTAAAGCTTTGTTATGTACTTTTGTAGAACAACACTTGTGTATAGTTTTGGATCTTATAAGAAAAGATTTGTATAAGCAAATAGTAGTGATGGGGAGTTTTTGTGTAAGTATGAATGAAGTAGTACTCTTTTTGCAAGCTTTGTATACATGTAATATTTTAAGAGGTTAAGAATGATTTATGTTTCATTTATAACCTATGTACTTGCTCTGAACGGACTTAATCAAGTTATGACTATTATAACGCTTCCGCATATGTGCCCTAAGGTACTATAATCCATTACTTGTTTTGTCTTGTTAGGACTTTGGTAGTCAAGACTATTGGCTGGTCACAATCTATCCTGGTTGGGATAGAATGGGGCCATGACACATTTTACAAGATCACACATTACATTTAAAAACTAGTAAAACATAATTGGTTGTCCCAAAACTACACTTATGTAACTCTTCGACTCTTGTTTCTAAAATCCTTGGGTCAAAGCCAGATGAGTCAAGTTAGACACCAACACCCAAAAAGAAAGGCAACTCTAATGGAAACTTTTTTCAGTTTATTTAACAAAGATGTGCTTCATCACAAACTTATAGCTGGTAATAGAGACCAAAGAATATGGCTAAAAACACACGAGACAAAATACCTGCATACTTCTTTGTCGGTACCACCCTTAACTCACGTTCACCATACGTAGTCCAACCAACTCTTAGAGCATTCTCAACAGCTCCTGCATCAAAAAAATATACAAAGGCACGACTGCATCCAAAAAATAGTAAATAAATATATCATATATTCTTCTAAACCTCCAATATGCAACAAAACTACGAAGACAGCTTAATCGATCCCACATGTTTAGGACTCGCAGTCATTGCTCTGCATGTTGACCCATTAGGCTTTCATGGCCAAAAACATAACAATCACGCTCAGGAAAAAAAATAAAACTAAGGATAAAAAACTTGGGAGGGAGAGAATGATGAGAGAGAAAGGTAAACCCTCTGCGTTGATCATCTGTACCGATAAATTTCACTTGTTTGACGTTGCCGCATAGAGAAAAAAGGCTTTCTATGAAATTCTCTATCTGTGATTTATAGATTGTCATGAAACTTTAAGTGCACATGTAGAATATGCTTGCTATAAAGTCAAGAGACACCAATTCGAGTTGAAAATGTTCTGAAAGCAACATTACCTCTATGTTTGGAAGTGTTGTATCGAAATTTGTCACAGCTACAACTCCAGAAGGTACAGTTTTGCGTTTCAGTTCCTTTATCTTTTTACTTTAGTAATTAAGATCATGAAACTCAACTGTTTTCAATAACTTTCATTTGAAGATAAAAGACTTGCTATACTACACCTCGAAAACTCAAGCTCAACTGGACCCTCAAGGGAAGTTATTTCGAAAATAACTTCATTAACTATTGACATCATCCCATGTTTGAAATCCACCCTCAAATTAAACGGAAGTCATTTGTTCGGCTGCAATAACTTCCGCTCAAGGGTGGATTTCAAACATGGGATGATGTCAATAGTTAATGAACTTATTTCCGAAATAAATATGTTTCTTTCAATATGAACTTATTGCAGGCTCTCAAATTAAACGGAGGTCATTTGTTGGGCTGTCCAGTTGAGCTTGAGTTTTCGAGGTATAGTATAGCAAGTCTTTTATCTTCAAATGGAAGTTATTGAAAACAGTTGAGTTTCATGATTTTAATTACTACAGTAAAAAGATAAAGGAACTAAAACGCAAAACTGTACCTTCTAGAGTTGTAACTGTGACAAATTTCGATACAACACTTCCAAACATAGAGGCAATGTTGCTTTCAGAACATTTTCAACTCGAATCGGTGTCTCGTGACTTTATAGCAAGCGTATTCTACATGTGCACTTAAAGTTTCATGACTATTTATAAATCACAGACAGAGAATTTCATATAAAGCCTTTTTTCTCCATGCGGCAACGTCAAACAAGTGAAATTTATCGGTACAGATGATCAACGCAAAAGGTTTGCCTTTCTCTCTCATCATTCTCCCCCTCCCAAGCTTTTTATCTTTAGTTTTATTTTTCTTCCTAAGCGTGATTGTTATGTTTTTGGTCATGAAAGCCTAATGGGTCAACATGCAGAACAATGACTGCAAGTCCTAAACATGTGGGATGGATTAAGCTGTCTTCGTAGTTTTGTTGCATATTGGAGGTTTAGAAGAATATATGATATATTTATTTACTATTCTTTGGATGAAGTCTTGCCTTTGTATATTTTTTTGATGCAGGAGCTACTGAGAATGCTCTAAGAGTTGGTTGGACTACGTATGGTGAACGTGAGTTAAGGGTGGTACCGACAAAGAAGTATGCAGGTATTTTGTCTCGTGTGTTTTTAGCCATATTCTTTGGTCTCTATTACCAGCTATAAGTTTGTGATGAAGCACATCTTTGTTAAATAAACTGAAAAAAGTTTCCATTAGAGTTGCCTTTCTTTTTGGGTGCTGGTGTCTAACTTGACTCATTTGGCTTTGACACAAGGATTCTAGAAACAAGAGTCGAAGAGTTACATAAGTGTAGTTTTGGGACAACCAATTATGTTTTACTGGTTTTTAAATGTAATGTGTGATCATGTAAAATGTGCCATGGCCCCCTTCTATCCCAACCAGGATAGATTGTGACCAGCCAATAGTCTTGACTACCAAAGTCCTAACAAGACAAAACAAGTAATGGATTATAGTACCTGAGGGCAAATATGCGGAAGCGTTATAATATTCATAACTTGATTAAGTCTGTTCAAAGCAAGTGCATAGGTTATAAATGGAACATAAATCATTCTTCCTTAACCTCTACTTCATTCATACTTACACAAAAACTCCCCATCACTATTATTTGCTTATACAAATTTTTCTTATAAGATCCAAAACTATACATAAGTGTTGTTCTACAAAAGTAGATAACAAAGCTTTAAAATATAAACCTTTTTCTAAAACTTGTTTTTCATCTTCACCTACATATATATAGGGCAAACGGGTGAGCCATATGCCAGTGAATAGTACTAGAGTAAAGTGGTAATGAATGAATATCATCAAGCTTACAAACTATTCTCACCAAAACATAATACAAGATAGTTCAAGTACTTTTCTTGTCAAGAGCATCATAGGAAAACTTAGCTTCAAAATATACTAGAAATGTCCATCTATTAGAGAAAAACGAAACAAGGGAATAACCGGCTCAAAACTGAGTAGATGATCCCTCCTGCAGGTGACAAGGGAGATCTCAATCGCGGTGCTACTTAAATGCTTAAGGTCCCCTAGTAGCTAGGACCATTCCAAGGATGCCATCTTAATAGCAAACATCATCAAGTGCTTCAAAACATAGTATAGGTTTTTTTAAACATAACTTTACAAAAGTACTACTAACAATGGCTCTTGGTGCTTGGGCTAGTGACGTAGGACGAATAGGGACAGCGCTATAAGGGTTGTTTTGGGGCTGTGAAAGTGCTGAAATTTAAGAAAGAAAGAAAGAAAGAAAGAAAGAAAGGAAAAGAAGAAGATAGGTCTAGGAATCACTCCTAAAATCCCTTCGGTCTCACACCTAGGGTTAGGGTTGCATCACACAATCCATAAGAAGCTTCAAAAGCTCTGAAAATTTCTCTAAATATTAACTCTATTGAATTATAAGCATTACGTGGCTTTATATAGAATTAGGAGATTTCTTAAACCAACTATAACCAAAAAAGGAAACTATTACAATATTTTTGATTTCTAAAACTAATATAAGACTAAATAATAAATATAAATAAAATTCAATTAAATAAGTTGCCCAACAAGACGACCCATGTCAGCAAATATAAAATTACCAAAATACCCCTAACCTTAAAAAGCCTGGAAAACATAAACATAATAATAAAATAAGACTCTAATAATACTAGAAACATACTTATAGAATATTTCTATTAGTTTCTCTATGAACTCATGCCAATGTCCAACTATCATCATTCCTTTGAATTTAGCCTTCCTTGAGCTTTTTATACTTTGCATCATTCTCCCTTGGTTGGAAAAAACTCGATCTCGAGTTTTGAAGTGTTGGAGTATAAGAATCCACAAGTTTTAAAATTGCATCCGTGCCTTCACATTAGAATGTTCAAGTTGGCAGCGTCATTTCTTCTTCATTGGAGGTAGCAATGAAAGCAACAAGGAATTTTCAGCTCTAAAGCTGAATTTATCTGGAATGATTAAAGCAATTGAAGTAGAAGATGAACCCTTGAATTGATCAAAGTGTTGCGTTGCCCCATCATCAATTCCATTCTTTTTTGGCTTTGTAATATAGTGCTTACAACCAATTTGGATGCTCCTATTTGCATCCATAGACATGGATTCCATATTCTCCAATCTTTTTCTCAACAAAAATGTTGTTTTGCAATTCAGTTTTGCAATCCTCTTGTAACTTCGACATATGCTTTGAAGGCTCAACACTAGCAGTTGGTTGCTTCGATTCTTCAGTCCCAACAGCTTCCATAGCATCCAATTCCTCACCTTGGACACTAGTAACAACTAGATCTTCTTGGTGTGCTTTTGGATCATTAGTAAGAGCCTCATTATCCTTCAAAATTTGGTCATCTTTCACCCTATGCAGGGTTTGATTGTTCTCCTTCACTTGTAGCTTCAACTGCACAAGCTTTTGATATTTAACTCTAGCTTTCAGCTGTGGAACGACTTCTTGTGTGTACTCCATGCTATATCTTGACTGATGTGGCACTTCTTGCCTAATAATAAGGCTTAATGCAAGTTTAAATCTAGCAAGTCTTTGACATGATTCTTCCAAAACTCAATTTCGTGTGTCAAGTGCCCCAAGTCTTTGCATATATTCTTCGAAGAAAGTGTTGACATGTCTTGAATTAACAAGTTGCTCACATGACTCAACAAGATTATTTGAAGGTATATACTTCTCTTGAAGCTTTAGCTTTCATCTCTTGCCATGTGTTTATTGGTGGCAATTCCAATCTTCTTTTATCTCCTTCAGCACGATGCCACCAAAGGTGTGCCAAACCTACAAGTTTCATCTTAGCAAATCTTGCTTTTCGATCATCCGTCCAATGATAGCAATCAAAATATTTCTCAATTGAAACAAGCCAATTAGAGAACACCACAAGATCATCTCTTCCTTCAAAATCTGGAACTTTTTTATCATGGGGTATAACATATTGTGGCACATAGGATCTCCCACTTTGTAAGAACATAGTGGTGAAACCTTAAGCTCTGATACCAAACTGATGTAGGACGAATAGGGACAGCGCTGTAAGGGTTGTTCTGGGGCTGTGAAAGTGCTGAAATTTAAGAAAGAAAGAAAGGAAAAGAAGAAGATAGGTCTAGAAATCACTCCTAAAATCCCTTAGGTATCACACCTAGGGTTAGGGTTGCATCACACAATCCATGAGAAGCTTCAAAAGTTCTGAAAAATTCTCTAAAATATAAACTCTATTGAATTATAAGCATTACATGGCTTTATGTAGAATTAGGGAACTTCCTAAACCAACTATAACAAACAAACAAAACAAAACAAAACAAAACAAAACAAAAAAGGAAACTATTATAATATTTTTGACTTCTAAAACTAATTTAAGACAAAATAAGAAATATAAATAAAACTCAATGAAATAACTTGACGCACAAGACGACCCATGGGCAACCCATACGACCCATGTCAGCAAAATATAAAATTACCAAAATACCCCTAACCTTAAAAAACTTGGAAAACATAAAAATAATAATAAAATAAGATTCTAATAATACTAGAAACATAATTATAGAATATTTCTATCAGTTTCTCTATGAAATCATGCCAATGTCCAAGTATCATCACTCTAAATTTAGCTTTCCTTGAGCTTTTTATACTTTGCATCAGTTAGTCTACAAGATTATCACCTACAAAAGCACAAGATAGCACATATAGAACTTGTATTCAAAACAAGGCATTTGCTACATGATTAGCCTAATTCCAAGTCTTCTAATCTTAGTTCATTGCATTTTAAACCATTCATGAGTTGTCTAGTGCATTCTTGGTTCAATTGCAAGTCTTTTCCAAGTGTTAATCAAGTGTCAAATGCCTACATTGGGGTCCCAAAGTGTCTAAGACATCAAAGCATCTTAAACATGCAAAACAAGGTAGACAACACGTGCGGGAGCCCAAGGCTGGCTACATGTGCGGATTGGTGCAATCCTGAAATTGGGTTGGAAGTCTAGGCCACACGTGTGGGGTTCGTAGCCACATGTGCGGGGACTATTGTCACGACCCCAACCCGTCCCTAACAGGATGGCGTTGTGACCGGGCAGTACTCGTAGACTACCGAAGGCCTAACTTTCAAAACTAAATGAACTCTTATAATAATTGGGACAAATTTATTCCGTTTACTAGTGCAGAAACCATTATTTTCTTATATTGTATCCAATTAAAACATCCATTCAGAGTAGTGCATAACTATATGAAATGAAAGCATACATTTCCTATGGATTATTATCTTGCTATTTACATGATCTAGTTGACAAAAGTAAAACACAACACTCATGACAAAGCTTTACAAGTCCAGCACAAGCATACAAGACCGGCTTCTAATCGAACTTCTCCTCGTAATCAACCTCTTCATCACCTATGTAGATATATAAGGGAAACGGGTGAGGCATTGCCTAGTGAATAGTAATAAAGTAAGGCGGTAGGTGAATGAACACCGGCAAGGTTTATAAAACATAGCATAAAGTCATAACTTGAATATTTATCAAATAAATAAATAAAGTGATAACTTGAACATAAGTTAGCTTGAACGTGATAGTACAAAACTTGACTTGCAAACATTTATATAATGATGAACATTTTAAGGATAACAAGGTGGTTAACCGGCCTGGGTATTGGCTAAACGATCACCCGAAGGTGGCAAGGTGAGCTCGGCCAACATGACTTGATTGGTTATTCCCCCAATATTGGGACATGATCCAAGAATGCTATCATAATACATGATAGAAGAATATAGGATGTTCATTCATAACAAACCATAGCATCGCTTCATAAACATAATCAAGTTTTGCATTGAAAACATAATTTATCAAACATAGTATTACTAAATTACTAAAAAATGGCTCTTGAACAAGGGTTTCTCCTCCAATGTGCTTGACCTACACAAGGCATAAACATAGCATTGAAACCAATTAAACTAACAAGCTTCTAGATTCACTTCTAGTGTTCCAACTTAACTTAGTGTTTCTTAATATTTTCTTAGATTATCCAAGACTTTTCTAAGCCTAATTTTGTCTAATCTTACTTATTTAACTTAGTTAACCAATGTCTATACTAATTAGTCTAGGCTTAACTATCAAACAAGTGAAATTTATCAGTACAAATGATCAACGCAGAGGGTTTGCCTTTCTCTCTCATCATTCTCCCCCTCCCAAGCTTTTTATCTTTAGTTTTATTTTTCTTCCTGAACGTGATTGTTATGTTTTTGGTCATGAAAGCCTAATGGGTCAACATGCAGAACAATGACTACGAGTCCTAAACATGTGGGATGGATTAAGCTGTCTTCGTAGTTTTGTTGCATATTGGAGGTTTAGAATAATATACGATATATTTATTAACTATTCTTTGGATGTAATTTTGCCTTTGTATATTTTTTTGATGCAGGAGCTGCTGAGAATGCTCTAAGAGTTGGTTGGACTACGTATGGTGAACGTGAGTTAAGGGTGGTACCGACAAAGAAGTATGCAGGTATTTTGTCTCGTGTGTTTTTAGCCATATTCTTTGGTCTCTATTACCAGCTATAAGTTTGTGATGAAGCACATCTTTGTTAAATAAACTGAAAAAAGTTTCCATTAGAGTTGCCTTTCTTTTTGGGTGTTGGTGTCTAACTTGACTCATCTGGCTTTGACACAAGGATTTTAGAAACAAGAGTCGAAGAGTTACATAAGTGTAGTTTTGGGACAACCAGTTATGTTTTACTGGTTTTTAAATGTAATATGTGATCTTGTAAAATGTGTCATGGCCCCATTCTATCCCAACCAGGATAGATTGTGACCAGCCAATAGTCTTGACTACCAAAGTCCTAACAAGACAAAACAAGTAACGGATTATAGTACCTTAGGGCACATATGCGGAAGCGTTATAATAGTCATAACTTGATTAAGTCCGTTCAGAGCAAGTGCATAGGTTATAAATGGAACATAAATCATTTTTTCCTAACCTCTTAAAATATTACATGTATACAAAGCTTGCAAAAAAAGTACTACTTCATTCATACTTACACAAAAACTCCCCATCACTACTATTTGCTTATACAAATTTTTCTTATAAGATCCAAAACTATACATAAGTGTTGTTCTACAAAAGTACATAACAAAGCTTTAAAATATAAACCTTTTTCTAAAACTTGTTGGAAGTCTAGGCCACACGTGCGGGGTTTGTAGCCACATGTGTAGGGGACTATTGTCACGACCCCAACCCGTCCCTAACAGGATGGCGTTGTGACCGGGCAGTAGTCGTAGACTACCGAAGGCCTAACTTTCAAAACTAACTGAACTCTTATAATAATTGGGGCAAATTTATTCCGTTTACAAGTGCGGAAACCATTATTTTCTTATATTGTATCCAATTAAAACATCCATTCAGAGTAGTGCATAACTATATGAAATGAAAGTATACATTTCTTATGGATTATTATCTTGCTATTTACATGATCTCTATGACAAAAGTAAAGCACAACACTCATGACAAAGCTTTACAAGTCCAGCACAAGCATACAAGACCGGCTTCTAATCGAACTTCTCCTCGTAATCAACCTCTTCATCACCTATGTAGATATATAAGGGAAACGGGTGAGGCATTGCCTAGTGAATAGTAATAAAGTAAGGCGGTAAATGAATGAACACCGACAAGGTTTATAAAACATAGCATAAAGTCATAACTTGAATATTTATCAAAAAAATAAATAAATAAATAAAGTCATAACTTGAACATAAGTTAGCTTGAACGTGATAGTACAAAACTTGACTTGCAAACATTTATATAATGATGAACATTTTAAGGATAACAAGGTGGTTAACCGGCATGGGTATTGGCTAAACGATCACCTGAAGGTGGCAAGGTGAGCTCGGCCAACATGACTTGATTGATTATTCCCCCAATATTGGGACATGATCCAAGAATGCTATCATAATACATGATAGAAGAATATAGGATGTTCATTCATAACAAACCATAGCATCGCTTCATAAACATAATCAAGTTTTGCATTGAAAACATAATTTATCAAACATAGTATTACTAAATTACTAAAAAATGGCTCTTGAACAAGGGTTTCTCCTCCAATGTGCTTGACCTACACAAGGCATAAACATAGCATTGAAAACAATTAAACTAAGAAGCTTCTAGATTCACTTCTAGTGTTCCAACTTAACTTAGTGTTTCTTAATATTTTCTTAGATTATCCAAGACTTTTCTAAGCCTAATTCAAGTCTAAATGAAGTGTCAAACGTGTATCGAATGCATGCCTAGAAGCATCCTAGGTGAGTAAGGTCTGAAAAATGTTGAAGAGTGTCAAAGACGTACGCTGAAGAGCTCTAAGTATCCCATAACCATTTCATATGCTTTACATTGAAAAACATCACGTTTAAATGTTTAAAGTTCAAGGAAATAGGAAGAAATGAAAGAGAACCAAGCTAGGCGAAAAATTGTAATGAAATGGTTGAGAAGAAAGTAAACAACCTTCAATGTTTTAAATATGTCTCTTTGTATACATGGAATTTCGATGTGAGACCACCACCATTGGAAATTAGACTTCATTTAGACTCAATAATTGCTTAAAATGGAGTTCGGATGAGAGATATGCCCATTTGAAGTTGGCTTGAAACAAGGGTTTCGCACGTGCGCCCACCTTCGCCGCTCGTACAGTGGCCTAGGTCGCACGAGCAGAGGCTTAAGTTAGCGTAGATTGGATTTTGCGTGCTCGTGCGCCCAATGATGGCAGCTCAAATGCCCAACAATCAGAAGTCAAGGCGGAAGTTGTTCTTTGGGTTTTTGGGCTTCCTAACTTGATTTTCTTCATTGCCAAACCTCAAAACATGGTTTCTAAGGTACAATAATATAGATAAATGATGCATGATTCATGGGAAAACATGTTTATGCATTGAACTTAAAGTTTCATGAACATGATTTTTATTAAGAAATCCACAAGTCTAGTTTCGTTTCAACTCTTTTTCTAACTTCTCCTTTTCTCTCCTTCAAAACATGAATTTGAATATACAAAACTCTTGAAAATCAAAGGAACATGTGAAGATGAAAGCTTATATGCATCAAGGACATCAAAAACTTAACCAAAATGATGAATTCCTATGTTTCCTATCTAGCTCTTCAACCTAGCCCAACTTTTTTCATTCGTTCCCTCATTTCTTCCTTATTAATTTAAATTGACCCCAACTTTTTCTCAATCTTAGATGCTAGGAGGGTTTACTACAAGATTTGGGATTGAAATCTTACTTTGGAACACTTTCTAGGTTGAATTTGAGCTAAAGTTTCCATTCTCTCTTCTTTCTCCTTTCTGTTCTTCCTTTCCTCCCTCCTCCTTTCTTCTCTCTCGTTTGTTCTAGTCTTCTGCAGAATTTTTTCTCTTTGTTTGGTTTTATTGAGTTGAACAATACAAAGAGTTATAGGATTTGATGAGCTAGAGATGAAAGATGTGTTATACAATGATAAAGTCGATGGAATTAAAAATTGAAGTTTCAAGTTTCCAAACTTCAAGGGGTTTTCTTTTATTTTTGCTTAATTTGCTTTTAAAATGAACTCTGTTTTGTAATTTCTCCTATTTAATTTGCTTTAGTCTCAGTATCATTGAATTATGATTTGTCTTTTAGCTTTGTAATTTTTCCTTTAGCTTTGGTATTGAACTTTGATTTATAGGTTGAATCTCAAACTATAAATTTAAAATAAAATTATTAGCATACCCTAGTTGTACCCATATCCTATTTTTTTCAAGTTTTTCCATTTTGACATGCCCGTACCAGTATCCATACCCGCACCCATGCTTCATAGATGGGGGTTATTGTCAAGTTGTCCCAAAAGTAATTACAATCTACCCATTCCCATATGCAAGTTCTGTGTAAAATTGAATGTAGGTTATGCTTAATAGTTGAGAGCAAAATAGTTGACTAACAGAAAATAAGACAATTCAATAACACAATTCAAGACCATCCAATTCAATTAGAAAAACAAAACAATACATAGGATGCTAAGATAATACCCACACCAAAAATATATCACTTTTCTTTGTTCCATTTTTGTCTTTTTGTGATCACTCAATATTATCTGCTTTTATAACTCATCACAATGATTGGGAGGAGAGGGAAGGAGCAAAAAGAATATATAACTTGAGTGCACTGTCACAATATTCTGAAGCTTAAACTAATATCTTAATGTCTAGCAACAATTGCTATATTTTTATCAAAAACTGCCAAAAAAGGAGCAAACCATGTACACTCAAAAAACAAAAATCCATGTGTCCAAAAATCCATTCCATCCCAAATTTCCTATGAAATGCACAAAAAACAAAATGGAGAAATGACAATTCACTCTCATTAATAAAAGTAATAAGAAGAAACAAAATTTCAAGCTATAAATGGGTAACTCAATACAATTAAAAGATCTCCCTATTACATTCCATTCAAAGTCTCCACAAAACATAAATAGTTGAAGACTGCCACACAATTTTCTCCATCTTTTTTGAACAATAAGAAGACCAACAGGCAGAAAGCTCAATCATTAAAAACAGCATTACCCATTTAATGCCAAAAACTAAGCAAATTAAACTCTATAATTCAGCATCCATAGGACCAATCAAAAATCACTTTGCATCTCTTCCTAAGATTGTCAATAATTAAATGGCTATAATGTGCATCAGTTCAAGCACAAAAGCAACCATAGGAGGGGTGGGCCTTGCTTTTCCAAATGCCTGTCTAAGAGAGAAAGTGCCCACAACCATATGAATCGTTGAGACATACAAACCAAACTAAGCCTTATGGCCCAATTAAGTGGGGACGGCTACCTGAATCCTTGAGTCATGTCATGTATTAAATCACAAATCCTAAATGGACTAAATTTGTATTGTTGCTACTAAAAGGTGGCAGCCAATACATGACGTTGACACGGGCAAGGTAATACCCTAAATCATATACACTTTTCCCTTCTAACACGTCAACACTCAACCAAGTGAATGGTTAATTAAGAAAAATGACAAAAGAGATAGAAGAAAGGCATAACAACAATATTGGTATCCAATACCATGAGGGTGATCTTGTATATGTGAGCAGTCAAAAGTACCTCTAGTAATTAGGCACAAAGATGGCACAAGAGCACTAGACACGGAGAAGGAGAGAAATGATGTAGCCTTAGACTTTGAGAGAGAGTGGCAGCGGAGGAGGAGCCTCTAGACATGCCATGGAGATGGAGGTTGCACTCTAGTGTGTAGAGGAGCTTTCCTTGAGGTGCCTTGTGTGGAGGTGGAGACCACCTTTCATAGAGTTGGTCCATGGAGGTCAATTCATCCTTGACTTGGTCAAAAGGATAAGTGAGTGATGTGAAACGTATGAACACGACATAGATTTTATAATTTGTGAGACTAGGGCAGTGGCCCTTGGGATAAGTTAGATAGTTAAATAGATTTCTTAATGCAGAACATGTGTGCAATATTTTTAATCAAGTTTATGTTTATTTTTAATATTTACGCTTATTTGTTTTATTTATATTTTTATATTTAATTTCTTATTCTACTAGGGATTAAGTTTCCAAATAATATGACAAGTCAGTTTCCTATTTTCAATTAGGGTTTCTAGCCTATATATTTAGGGATTTGCATTGTAATAGTTAGCTTTGGATTATTAATATTGAGTATATAAGGCTATGGTAATTTTGTGTTAGTGTTGTCTTGTGGCCCTTTTCCTTCCTCCTACTTTTTCTTCTTCTCTTCTCTTCTTTTTCATCCTCGAGTTCCCATTGAAATACTGAATTTGTCCATGCCAACAAATCAAATATTTCAAATAGGTCAATTGCTAGATTTTCTTTTTGCTCCAAGTAATTCCTAAGGCCAGATGTTGATGAGGTCCATCAAATACAGATTGTGAAATGCCCCAATTTTTCAAAGATTAATTAGGCGGAAACTAACTAACCAAAACGTGAGGTTAAAAAAAACCTCATTCTCATTCAATTAATTATAAAAATCTTTTTCAAATCCATTTTCTTTTCACAAGTCTATATAAGAAAATACCATGGATGAAACCATAAACTCACTCTCCATGTATTTCAATCAATATGTTAAAATATGTTTGTATTACCAAAGCGTGAGATTTTTTAAAAAAAAAATTAAATAAACCTCATTCTCATTCAATTAATTATAAAAATCTTTTTCAAATCCATTTTCTTTTCACAAGTCTATATAAGAAAATACCATGGATGAAACCATAAACTCACTCTCCATGTATTTCAATCAATATTATATAATCATCACAAATGGAATGCCCCCAAGCCTACAAAAAATGAGAGGGCAATGCTCCTTACAAAGAACGGTACTCAACCAAATAAACAAATGAAGTATTACAATTCATCACTACATTACACCTATGAAACGGTAAAACTAGTTGTTTTTTGTCTTCAAATCCGACAAGCATTCCTTGTACACGTGTACAAGCAGAGGGTGAGCAAATTATTAGCTCACCAAGCAATCTCATATTATAACGTTAAAAGACATGAAGGTACAGTGATATAGTCATACTATACATATATATATATAGTCATATCATGACATAACCTTACAATTTTATTAGCTAATCCCTTAAATCCAATTTATTTAATTAACAAAAACTATTCAACTTAAATAAATTAACATGCTTCAATGTCAACAAGTCATCCTTTTCAAAATGAATGCGATGCCAAAGTTTATAATACGAGTTATATGCATGTCTTTTCTTCAAAGCAGAAAATAGGTGGTAAATACACACACTGGGAATCCCTAAGTACGTGTTTGCAAGTAGGCTATACAAGCACTACCAAAAGCCATTTTACCGGTACCATCTGGAAGGATCAGCACCTAACCGTGCAGTTTGCTAGACTTTCACCATGGACACACAAGCCACCTTAAGTACCACAACCCACACCCCCTTACCCAGATTCACCATGGTATTCACCAATTTTTCTCAAAATAAACATTTCAATGCATGAGTTTTTCTGGACAACTAGTGCCTGTGGATTCATGGGTTATGAACAGTATCCTAATCTTATCAACAATACATTTTTACAGTTTAAACCCACTGAACATGGCGTGGTGAGTTTTTTATTGGTGCAGCTTTTCTCCCAGGTCTAGCTGTAGATATATGGGGAAGACAGGAACAACTTTCTCACGTGGCTTGTTTTTTGAAATTGTGGTTGGCATCTGATTCCATAAGACTATTGGGAACAAGTGGAGACGGGACTCTCTCTGTTTGCAATCTTCGGAGCAACAAGGTTCAAACTCGCTCTGAATTTTCTGAAGACGAGCTGCTTTCTGTGTTAATCATGAAGAATGGTCGAAAAGTTATATGTGGGACGCAAACTGGAACTCTTCTATTATATTCATGGGGTTTTTTCAAGGACTGCAGTGACCGCTTTGTCGATCTATCCCCAAACTCTATTGATGCTTTGTTAAAGCTTGATGAAGATAGAGTTATTACTGGATCTGAGAATGGGCTCATTAGCCTGGTAGGCATATTACCCAACAGAATAATACAGCCAATTGCGGAGCATTCAGAATATCCTATCGAGCGTCTTGCATTTTCTCATGATAAAAAGTTTCTGGGCAGTACACCACATGATCCCCTTTCTTTTCTTTTCTTTATTTTCCACTTTCAAACCCTTTATTTTTTTATTCTCTTTGAATTCAGTAATGAATTCTAAGCCGATCTACTTTTTCTTTTCTTTATTTATTTTTTTACTTTTTCTCGTCTTTATCTCATATCCTCATGTTCCTCACCCTCTATTTTTTTTTTATTCTCTTTGATCACCCCCATGTCTGACCAAACACCACTCTTCTTTTATTTCACTATTTTTTATTATAATATATTTCTCCTCTCCCTGCTTTTATTTTATTTTATTTTATTTATTTATTTTTTTTCTATCTTTCTTTTTCCATCAATATTTCATTATTATACCACTCGTTAGTGAGCATCACCCTTTTTACATTATCTTATTATTACTTTTTTTATATTCCACAAAAAACAAAAAAAACAAAAAAACAAAAAAAAAAAAACCATTTACCAATTTGCACAACAAATCATATTTTATTCCTCTCAGGGGTTCACCCCGATCCACATTTTACTCCACAACCACCAAAAAAAAAAAAAAAAAAAAAAAAAAAAAACCACACAAGATCACCATCCCAACAACAACAGATTTGTGTTCTTTTCTGCAGACGGCCACCCACCGACCTACTCTGCCGCCGGTCTTTTCTTCTTGCCTCCGTCCTGGGCGGTCCTTGACGGTGTTGCCTCCGTGTTTACCACTCCACTGGGCACGATCACTACTCCCTGCTCCTCCACTGCAGCATATGGCGGACCTCCAAATCGGAACATTACGGTGGCCTTCCGCTTCAGTTCCTTATTTTCCGCCTTCAGCACACTTATCTCTGCTCGCGCAATGGTCTGACACGACCATACAGTGTCTCCTATCCTCTTTTATTTTTATGTATTTTATTATTTTGTTCCTCTCTCCAAACTCAAGTTGGTTAGTTTCTATCCTCCTTGAGTTTGCGGGGGGCTGTTAAAATATGTTTGTATTATATGTTAGTGATGTTAGTATTAGTGATGTTAGTATTCTATGTTAGTATTGCTAGTGTTATCATTATGTTTAGTACAGCATTATGTTAGCTTTAATAATTATCATTTGCTTTATGCCACCCTATGTATCTTTTCCTCTCTATAAAAGAGAGTCCACATCTCCTTGTAATAAACACAGAAATATCAATCAATAATACCTATATTTTTACACAATATTATATAATCATCACAAATGGAATGCCCCCAAGCCTACATAAAATGAGAGGGCACTGCTCCTTACAAAGAACGGTACTCAACCAAATAAACAAATGAAGTATTACAATTCATCACTACATTACACCTATGAAACGGTAAAACTAGCTGTTTTTGGTCTTCAAATCCGACAAGCATTCCTTGTACACGTGTACAAGCAGAGGGTGAGCAAATTACTAGCTCACCAAGCAATCTCATATTATAACGTTAAAAGACATGAAGGTACAGTGATATAGTCATACTATACATATATATATAGTCTTATCATGACATAACCTTACGATTTTATTAGCTAATCCCTTAAATCCAATTTATTTAATTAACAAAAACTATTCAACTTAAATAAATTAACATGCTTCAATGTCAACAAGTCATCCTTTTCAAAATGAATGCGATGCCAAAGTTTATAATACGAGTTATATGCATGTCTTTTCTTCAAAGCAGAAAATAGGCGGTAAATACACACACTGGGAATCCCTAAGTACGTGTTTGCAAGTAGGCAATACAAGCACTACCAAAAGCCATTTTACCGGTACCATCTGGAAGGATCGGCACCTAACCGTGCGGTTTGCTAGACTTTCACCATGGACACACAAACCACCTTAAGTACCACAACCCACACCCCCTTACCCAGATTCACCATGGTATTCACCCATTTTTCTCAAAATAAACATTTCAATGCATGAGTATAAAACATTTGAATAGATGCAATGCTTGAGTGAATTAGTTTCAATCAACTTGGGTCTCATGCAAGTTCTACAACAATCAATACTATCCTCCACCAATAGCCAAAACAATTATCTCTAATACATTAATTAAAAGATAATATGAATATACAATCCAACATACAACCATAACTTGGAATACCCCATGATTCCCAACACTTGGAAACAATCCATATTCCACATTTTAAAGACAAATTTTCAAAACTTATATAATCAAACTCAACATTTCAAAGAGTAACCAATACCCCATATTCCAAATGTTTCATATGTGTTTTCCAATCAAATCCTCAATTCTAAAACCAAACAAAATCTTTTCCCAATGATCCAACAACTCTCAAAACATTAACATTTAGGACTTTTCACAGAATGGGGCTTTCTCACTTTCAGATACCCACATGCAATTTTTTTATACAGAAAATAAATTTAATAGCCAGATTATAGGTAACCAACCCCCAATTTAACCCAACTCTCAATTTACAAATCAAATATCTCATATATCAATTTGAGGTATGAAATTTTTATAATAACATAACTCAACTAGTGAAACTAATGACCAAATACCAAATCATATCAACTTAACTAATAATCTTAGTTCAACTTTGTTTCATGAAACAACTTATAATGACTTTTTGACTTTTTGGCTAAAATATGTAGTCCCCAAACGAGGCCTTAATCTCACTTATTTTCTCCAATCTCATATTTGGTCAACATTACCATTTTTAATCTCATAATATTAAAAGTTAGAAAATAAACCCAATAACACACTTTTAATTACTAATGATATAAAATATTAACCAAACTAATTTAATCCACCAAATTAGTAAGTTCATTATATTCAAAATTTGCCAAATCAATAATACCAAACATAACTTCACATGTCTCATCTTTCAAATATAACCATATTTCATACCAAGCTACTTAAATAGTTAATTTTTCCTAAATTCTCTACAAATAATAATTTCACAACTTTTCTAAAATTAACTAATTACATGATATTTACATCAAAAATCATGAAATATGCCGAAGAGTAACCTTTCCAAGATTGGGAGTTCAAAAGTCCACATTTCATATTTTCATTTCACAAAAGTGAACAAAATTTAATCATCAATATATCACCATTCATAAAATATCATGAATACAACAATTTTAGAGTTTTTATCCAAAACCAACTCTATAATTCCAACTGAACAATTTACACAATATTCATCAACATCAATTTATTTTTCTCAAAAGTAAATTCAAAAATCAAAGATGAGAGAATATTTCAACATTATTTTTCTCAAAATAAATTATCTAATCATAATATGATGTAGATACAAAGCATACAATTATTAAATTTGTATTTGGATTTTTTAACAAAAATTACCACCACAAGACTTTTCCAAATCAATTTCAGAATACCAACATTCTCAACATTTCAACATAATTTTCTTCCAAAAATTATCCAAACAAAAATTTGAGAATAATATATATGTAATACCTCCTATAATCTTTGTTATCAGAATCTTACGATTCGCGATTTTGATTCACGATTCGATTCGCAATTTTTGCAAAATCGATACGAATCTAAGGGTGAATCTATTTGGAAGTGAGTCTCTAGTGAATCGCACGATTCACGATTCGATTCACTTTTTACGATTCATGCAATTTTTAAAATTATTGTGTCCGACATATTTTTGACTCAATTTTTCCTCCATCTTTTTAGTAAAAATGACATAATACAACTTCTAATAGCATTTAATACCAAAATAACCAGCATATATACATGATTTGGTATTATTTTAGTGATCATGAAGTTTTTAATAGGATCCAATTAGATTTAGTCAGACCCAACATATTTTTAACCTTTTCTTCTCATTTTTTTTTCCTTTAAAAAATCGGAATATATCTTCTAAAGATGTTTAAGATTAAAATTATACTGTGAATTATCTATTGCTATTTTATTAAATTAAATATTACATGTATGAGGTCAGTTATACTCTTTAAAATATTTTAGGCTTTGAAAAAAAAGATTTTAAATGATTCTTTCTTATTATTTGCTCACTGTTACTCAGAAAAGTATGTATGCTTATTGTCCAAATATCAATATCGTTGTTAATTATTGTTACTTAAGAAATTGATAGTTTGTCTATTTGGTTATTATTTTTATTAAGAATGGTTGATAAGAAATATCTAAAAAAGAAAAAAAGGTAAGATGGTGACATAAGAATGTTTGTTAACTTCTTATTTATTAAACTACGTGATTATCATTCAAAATAACATTTTTATTGATTTAAGTCTAAATATTTTATATTCATAAGTTATATTTAACTTTTAAATGTGTAAATATATGTCTTTAAATAATTTAGAAGAAGTGACCGAATCTTTACGATTCACGATTCGATTCGCGATTCAGTACGAGACCATTTCGATTCACGATACGAATCCCGATTTGACAACTATGCCTATAATGATATATTTTCTCAAACTATCCCTAACATGGATTTACAGAAATAACATGAAGAAAGTCCCTACCTCAAATAATGAAGAGGAGCAGATCTAGGATGTAACCTCGTCGGATTTTTGATCTGAGACTATCATTGCAAAAAGTATAACAAGCTCTCCGACTTTCATTTACAAAACTTTTCCCAAATCTAACCCAATCTAGCTCCGATCTTTCAAAATGTGAACCAAATCATTTGTTCAAATGTTTGAGAGAGAGGCAGAGCCTCTCCTCTCTTCTCTGCCGGATCAAGAAGTCAAAGAAATGAAAAGTTGGGAAAGTGAAGATAGGCCCTGTTTGGTAGAGCTGTGGGAAAGTGCTTATAGCTTATACCTTAACAGCTTATAGCTTATAACTATGAACATAAGCTGATTTCTGACTTATAAAATAAGCTTCTCCTGCTCCACTCAAAGAATAAGTTGATTTCTGACTTACAAAAAGTTATAAGCTGCATTGTTAAGCTAAACCAAACATATCAAAATAGCTTAAATTAAGCTGAAAGGTGAAATAAGCTGAAAAAAAGTTGTACCAAACAGGGCCATAAAGGATGGGAAAAAGGGAAATGAGGAGGGATGGGAGGAGACAACCCCATGTGGGTTGTTCTCTTTCTCCAAAAATTATATATAAATCAAAAAAATCACATTAATCGGATATCGATAGCCACTTGATTGGATCAAATTTCTATCAACAGTAAATATAATTTTCAAAATAAATTGTTGACAAAAATCTGATCCAATCACATAATTTTTCTTCCAAAAATTAACCAAACAAAAATCTGAGAAATACATATATACAAAGCCTCCTATAATGATATATTTTCTCAAACTATCCCTAACATGGATTTACATAAGTAACATGAAGAAAGTCCCTACCTCAAATAATGAAGAGGAGCAGATCTAGGACGTAAATCTCGTCGGATTTTTTATCTGAGACTACCATTGCAAAAAGTACAACAAGCTCTCCGACTTTCATTTACAAAACTTTTCCAAAATCTAACCCAATCTAGCTCCGATCTTTCAAAATGTGAACCAAATCATTTGTTCAAATGTTTGAGAGAGAGACGGAGCCTCTCCTCTCTTCTCTGCAGGATCAAGAAGTCAAAGAAATGAAAAGTTGGGAAAGTGAAGATAAAGGAGGGGGAAAAGTGAAATGAGGAGGGATGGGAGGAGACAACCCCATGTGGGTTGTTCTCTTTCTCCAAAAATTATATATAAATATATAAAGGGCTAGGCTTCTCTCTAGTCCGTGGTTGGACTGGAGCGTGTTATTGGGCCCATGGAGGCCCACCACAGGCCCTATTTTGATAATCTGAACCATTCAATGTGTAGAACTCGTTGAGTACTTTATCCCTATAAAAAATCACATTGATCAAATATTGATAACTACTTGATCGGATCAAATTTCTATCAACAGTAAATATAATTTTCAAAATAAATTGTTGACAAAAATCTGATCCAATCAAATAGCTATCGATATCCGATCAATGTGAATTTTTATAAGGATAAAGTACTCGACGAACTCTACACATTGAACAGCTTGGATTATCGAAACAAGACCCGTGGTGAGCCCCGCGGGCCCAACAGCATCATCCAATTCACTTTGTGGACTGGAGACAAGATGCCCCCATATAGAAACATATTTGTAATAATATCATAAAATTTATATCACAAATTAAAAAATGATATAATTTTATCTCATCATAAAATATAATATTTTTATACACCACAAAATAAAATCTCTTGCTTACTACAAAAATATACCCCCTTTTATTCACTACAAAAATATATAATTTTTCACGAACGCACAATAAATTCAACTTACCAATCACATAATTAAATGGACAAACAGTCAAACAAGAGAAATAAACAAATTCAAATTAAATTGATTTTAAGTAATGGGGCTTAAATTAAATTCTCACTCACAAGCCAAACATAACCAAATTTTATATCAAAGTAGACCCAACAAACTTATCTCAAGTCATGGTCTAAACATCCAAAACTCAACATCAAATTATGCTATAAACTCAACTGAACGCTGTTCAATCCATGAATTTTCAGAAAATAAATACTTGTCCTTTATTCTGAAATTTTAACACAACATGTTAGGCTCATATGGAAATGACATAAAAATTAAATAATTTTCTGAGATAGGAAACCATTTTTAAAAAATACAAAATCGGACCATTTTCAAACAGAAGTTTACACAGCAACCCAATCCAAATATTGCTCAATTAATTTATGCACTGACTTTTTTTAAAAAAAATTCTAAGTCATTACAGATTGAATAGACAAAGGAAAGTTTCAATGCCAAAAAAATCAATCCGATCTAGGTTGATCAAAAAAACAATTGGTGGTTGTTTACGAGGAAGCTCTTCTTTTGGTAAATTCATATCATATTCTACATGACATTTTCTTCCATTTCAACCTTAACATCTTAGACTTTTGAAAGTTTTTCCAAAATAATATTAGGTTCATCATACTTAGAAACTGCTTGATCAACAACGTCCACTTGATCGTCACAATTTCCTTGAATAATTTCTAAAGTTTCTCCACACACAAACAAAAATAAATAAATAAATAAATACTAACAATTTATTCAAAATTAACTTCCACTTGATCGTCACAACACCCTTCAGGAATTGCAAAAGTTTTTCCCAAAAAATGGACTGAGAATTTGTTCAAAATTGCTTTCATCTAAGTCATTTATTCATCTCTTTCATATCTTTCTTCATCTAATGGTGTTCACGATAGGGATCTCAAATTTAGAGTATAACTCGACATTGGTGGACAAACATAGCTAATGGGAGAAAATATATTATTTTATTTTTTAAATAATGATTTTGGTTCGAATTGATGAGGTCATGTAAAGAAGACAAATCACACCAATTGAACAGAGCAAAGTGGATCAAAATTGGGCTCTGATACCAATTGATGCCGAACAGCTATTAAGAAATCCGTTCAGCCAGTGTTGTCAAAGGCGTGCCTAGGCGCCAGGCGAGGCGAGGCGCAGCTGGCGCGACTTGAGGAGGCCAAGGCGAGGCGAGGTATAACAGTCGCGCGCCTTGGGTGCGCCTGGAAGAGGCGCAGAGAGGCGCAAGTCGCGCGCCTAGTCGGGCTTCTTCGGTTTGTGCTTAATTCATATCTGACGGCTGAAAATTGTGAAGCTCTTGCCTCCAACACATATGATTACAACTCAGATGCAATACAATACATCTGAAAAGAGAAGAGAACTCAAATCGAACTTGATCGAAGCCCTAATCTGTGTTCTCCTTCGACGAAGCTCCTTCGACTCCTTCCGACTGGGCTTGTCTCTCTCTCTCGAACCAGGTACTCCTCCTCTTCTTCTTCTTCTTCGCGAACCTCTGTCGAACCTCCTTCGACTCCTTCTTCGAACCTCGATCGTTTTTTTTTCTTTCTTTTTTTTTTTTCTTCTTCTGCTTCGCTCGTTGGGCTCCTCTTCTTCTTCCGACTGGGCTCTTCTCTGTCAAATCGAAGCTCTGTTTGTTTGTTTTTCTTTTTCTTTTTTTTTCTTCCCCTCTTATTCTGCTAGTTAGCTCTGTTCTATTTTTTGTTTTTATTTTTTTTCCTTTTTTTGACTCTGTCTCTGTTAAAAAAAAAATAAAAAATGACATACATGAATTAAATTAAATTAATTAATTAATTCATACATAAATAGATTATACTGAAATAAATAAATTAGATACATTACATAAATTAATTAATTAATTAATTAATTCATACATACATTACATTCATTATGATTATACATACATTACATTGATAGTGGTAATATATAATATGTAAGTGGCATATAATGGGTTATAATGATGTTTGTAATATCTCCTATATAAGGAGTGTCATTTGGTCTTGTAAAATAAGAAGTTTTGAATATAACAGAAATATATTCCTTCTTCCTCATATTTTCGGAGTTCTTCTTTCTCATATTTTCTAAGTCTCTCCATATTCTGGACTAGATAAGGTTAGGGTGGCCGGCGGCACTTTATGCTCTATCTCCGGCAAGGGTTCAATTCATTGTTTCTCTTTACTTTTTCGTTTATCTGTTCATGTCCCTAATTTTTGCACTTTTGTTAGTAGCCTTACTACTGCTCTCAATTGCTTTGTAATCTTTTTTCTTACTCATTGTGTCTTTCAGGAACTAGCTACGGGGAAAATGATTAGTGCACAAGGTGGACTATACTTTCTGGATGTCGTTCCTCCTACATTACCTTTGTCCTCTTAGGCTCTTCAATGCACTACTGGCTCTTCAAAAATAGGGTGATCAGAAGCAGAACGACGGAATCATATGCAAGCACAACAGCACTGAAGCGATCAAACCATGCACGAAGGGATTGCTTGGGACCATATAAGGCTTTCTGCAACCGACAAACTATATTCTCACGACTAGGAACAACATAGCCACGGGGTTGATCCATATAGACCTCTGGGAGATCGCTATAAAGAAAAGCATTCTTGATATCAAGTTGATATAAAGGCCAAGACTGACTAACGGCAATCGAAAGAAGCATCAGAACAGAGTTAAGGCGAGCCTTAGGGGAGGTCTCCAAGTAATCAACATTATAGGTTTGGGTGTAGCCTCTGGCCACCAAGTGAGTCTTAAGTCGCTCAACAGTTCTATCAGGAAGATACTTGATAGTATAAATCCAACAACAACCAACAATAGGTTTCCCGGAAGGCAAATGTACAAGTTCCTTAATCTGATTATGATGAAGAGCACTCATTTTCTCATCCATAGCTTGCTTCCAACCCGATATTGACATAGCTTGCTGATAAGAACAGGGAATGGAAATACTAGACAACCTACAAGCAAAGGAGTGAAATCTAGGAGAATGACAATCATAAGAAACAAAATGAGCAATAGGATGTTGGGTGCAAGTATGTTTACCTTTGCGGACAGCAATAGGAAGATCATCAGAGGCCACATCGGCAGAAGGAACAGGAGATGCAAGAGGCTCAAACAACGGAGATAAACTAGCCGGGCCATAAGAAAAAATGCAATGAGCTTGGGATCGCTAATAAACCTGCAGAGGAGATGGAGGTAATGGAGCAGGATCTAAATTAGGGGTAGGGTCTATACTGGTGGGAGGTGAGATAGAAGATGAAAGGACACATGGCACTGGAAGAGTAGGTGTGGGAGAGGATGGTTCCTCCTCATGACAAGAGAGAAGATCAATGGATAATTGCTTCCCAAACAAAGATAAAAAAAGAGTGGACTAAAAAAAAAGTAACATCAACATTGACAAAGTACCTACGAGACTTAGGGTGACAACATCGGTAACCTTTTTGAGTATGAGAATAACCTAAAAACACATACTCGCGAGCATGAGGGGATAAATTATCTAAGCTCGGGTCAAGGACATGGACAAAAGCCACACAACGAAAAATATGAGGAGATAGGGGAAATAGGGAACACGTGGGGTATAAATGAGTAGGGAGGCTGGTTGTGTAACATGACTGAGGGCATGTGGTTAATAAGAGAGCAAACGGTGAGCACATCACTCCAAAACTATTTTAGAACATGCATGTTAAACAACAGTATGTGATCAACATCTAACAAATGGCGGTGTTTCCGCTCAGTAACATCATTTTAGGGGATGTATGAGCACAACTAATCTGATAAATAATACAATGATTATCACAAAAGGTATTCACAACAGACTACACATATTCTAAGACATTATTAGACTAAAATATCTTAATATGCTTCCCAAATTGAGTAAAAATTTCATTATAAAATTTAGAAATGATTGAAGGCAAATCAAACCTCTGTTTTATTAAAAACAACCAAGTCATTCTAGAATAATCATCCAGAAAAATAACAAAATAAAGAAAGCCATTAACATTGACTTGGACACATGACTAACACTACGACTAGGAAAGGAACTATGAGGATGTTTTCCAAATTGACATGCTTCACACTCAATCTGAGACACATGACTCAAACCAAGAACAACTAACTTGAGTTTTGCCAATGAGGGATGGCTCAAGTGGAAATGACACTATAGCACTGACCATAGCAACTAGCCCCCACAACAATTAGGAAAGGCAAGAAAGCAACTCAAAGCCAATAGCCCATAAAAAATAAAAAACAGAGACATGGAAGAGAACACAGGGCTGCCGAACCAGATCAGACAAAAAATTCAACCCAACACCAACAAATCAACAAACTAAGATCCAATACACCTTTCTAGGGTAATTTCGGCACCTATAGGGTGGATTCTAACAAGTAGAAACAACAAAAAATAAGCCCAATTGCAGATGAAAATATTTACAGCAAGAAATTCAAAAAATATTTAAAATAGAAAACTCACATCAGGGGTGATCAAAAAATTTCACAAAAAATACCATCATACTCAAGAGAGAATTTCGAGCCTAGGGTGAAATTCCCGTCCATATAGTTGTTGACATCATGCTGACGTCATCATACAGATGATGACATCAGCACATCTTCGTCACCTTAGGTCAATCTCCAGAATCTGTTAAACACTTTCTCATGTGGAACAGAGTGCTTTAATACCGATTTAGAATGTAAAATGGAGAAATTTAGGGTTAGGGTTAGAGAGAGAAGAGAGAAAGATATTGTGAATAAATGGTTTAGAGTTGTTGAATTACTCTACACCAACAAAATATATTCATATAAAAACTGACATTACAATATGACCATAATACCCTCAACTTAACTAAATAATAACATAAGAATATATAACTATTCTAACAAAATGTACACAAGGCCATAAAATTTGCATGGTTTACCCAAATGCTAGAGCTACGTACGCAGTTGCTACGGAAACAAGTCACAAGAGATGCAGAGATAATCCCTTTTTCAACTACATATGCGTAGAATTAGGGCATCATGTCATTAGTGCGGAATTACCAAAAATATCCTTATTTCAAATTCACAATCAAATGACTACTGTCTAATACTTATCAGGATCTATATTACCTCTACCTCTGTAACGAGGAAATAATTCAATCCTTTACTTGAGACCACCATCAAAACTCCTTTCTCTTTCCCCTTTCCTTCTGCACATATAAACCACCACACCTCACATCTATCTCCACCTTAACAACTTTATGTTCACCTCCTACCATCATGGCACCACTTGTTGAGCATTGCACAATTGAAGGCGCCTTTGGTCCTGTCCATCCTCTGTCTAGCCCAGTGTTATTAAAGGTTCACTAGGCCCAAGGCTTGTCAAGGCGTAGTCAATGCGCTTCGGAACATCTTAGGCCAACCAATATAAAAAAAGCCCCATGAAGCGTGCACTTTAGGCTTAAGCTCAAGGCGTACGACTGGTGCGCTTCTTTTAAAATGTTTGTTATTACAATTACAACCATTGATTTCACTTAATCTCATTCTATGAAGCACAGACATGGCAAACTTAGTGTCGTAGTAGTGTTGGAAACGGGGACATGCCGAGGACACGAGGACATGTTCGGAGAGTTTTTTTTTTTAAGGTATGGGACACGGCGGGACATGACAAGGGATATGGAAGAGAAGAAAGATAGAAGAGAGGAGAGAAGAGAGCAGTGACCTAGTATTTTCCCTAACTAGATGAGACGACAAACTTGACGACCTTCGAAGCTCTGACCTCTGACCTTTGACCTTTGATCGATGACCTTCGATCAACCTTCGGCCTTTGATCGAGCTCTCTCTCTCTCTCTCTCTCGCTTTGCCTGTCTCTGCCTGTTTCGCTCCTCTCTCTCTCTCTCTTCGAGCTTTGTTACATGTATATACATATATATAACCTAGAATATTATATATATTTTTTTATTTATGTTTTTATAAATTATACCTATATATGTATATATATTTATATTTATATATTTTATATAGCCTTTATAAATTATATGTATATATGTTTTAATTTATAGCAAAAAATACCTAAATATTATGTTATATTCTCCTTCTCTCTCTTTTGATACATTTAATTTTTATCTTAATCAGACATGTAACAAATTAAATCATGAATTAAACTAAACACCCTAATTTATTACCATAAAATTACCTTAAACTAATTTTTATTTTTTATTCTTAAACCAATTCTTTATTTAATAACTTTTTTAATTAAACATAAAATTATTATAAATTAACCTAAACATATTAATTTATTAACCATAAAATTAAGAGAAAATTAGTCTAAGGTCCTTCTCCCATTTTTAGTAATGAAAGATGTCCATAATATTATTTTATGATGTCTAAGGTCCCTCAACCTCACACTCATATATCACAGAGAAATTCGGCTCACTGATCTGAAAATGGCTGGAAGTGTGAGAAGCATAATCAAACTCCATACGGATGCCGACGAAGATCGAACCACTCTCTGCAATCCCAAACTCTGAAAGCACAGAAGCAAAGACCACAATCTCATTCGCCTCCTAAATGTTGATCTCAAAGTTGTTCTAGGGTTTGGTATCATAGCATTCTTGATGGGCCTTTTCATGATTCATCGACTTATAATTGTTGTTGAACATCATCAGAAACCCCGGGTCGTGACCCCATTCCCTAACCCAAAGATCATGGATCTTCCTCATGTGAAACTTTCATCTACAATTTGAATGAACTGATATAATATATAGTTAAAAATGATATATTATTGATTGATATCTGATGTATTACAAGATAGATGAATTACAATTCCTATACAATCTATATATAGAAGAAAAAGAATGATCATTGCCGTTGGATATGCCTACCAAAATGCTCATTGGATACTTTATGTATCCAGTGCTTGCCCAAGTAAAAGAAAGCGAGTGATATCGAAATGAGACCTGAGATCTGTAGGAATGTTGATGAAATCTCCATTGTTGATGAAGTCTTTCATTCTCCAATCTCTACTTCATCAAATCTGATCTCTCTCTCTCTCTCTCTCTCTCCCTCGAGGTTTCAATCGTTCAAAACAAAATTAACTGATTTTAAACTGCTGTGCAGTTTGGGGACGTGGGGTGGTGGAAAATAAAGTGATAAACCCTAAGTACCAAAAAATAAAAAATGGAATCAAGTTACTGAGAGAGATCGGAGAAGAATAACCTTATGAGGTCGCATTGCAGGCCACGATCCACCAGATTCCCACTCCTCATTCCTGCCATAACTCTGTTCCTGCACAATCACATCTACATTTCATTACAATTTCGTTCAAAATTTCATCACAATTCTCAATTTCACCACACCAAGAAAACCAAACCTCTCTATTCCACTGATTACGATCGTGACCATGTCTA